ATTACGGCTATATTTCACAACTTCTTTGAAAAGAAGTGGAACACTGTCCTAAAAGATGAAGCCAGTAAGTAAGATTGATTTTGATATCTGTATTTAATATTTTTAAATGATAAAGCTGACAGATTACTTTTTCAAGTTAGATGAAAAAGTTTAAAGTAAAACGTGGCTAGAAATGGAAAATTTTAATGAAGATGAATTTTCTAATGATATGGAGTTAACGGAAAGCTATCGAAATCAGTGGGTTGCTATGCAAACGAAAATGGATTTAATGTTATCAACCACTGAAAGAAAGGGCGATATTTCCAGTGTAGTAAATGAAACCAAGCGAAATTTCCGTCTTCCTATGTTAGAATTGAAACGTTTTGATGGTAATATTAAAAACTGGCTAGGATTCTGTGGACAATTTAAAAAGATTCATGTTGATGATAGCATTGATGCAGATGATAAATTTCAGTATCTTTTACAAGCAACTGAAGAAGGTTCATCGGCTAGAGATTTGGTTGCAAGTTTTCCACCATTTGGCGTTGGTTATTATAATGCTACTGAACAGCTGAAATCTCGTTTTGCTAAAGATGAACTATTAATTCAAATTTATGTTCGTGAACTTTTAAATCTAGTTTTAACGCAAGCGAAAAGTGGCGAAATTTTTACTTTGCGGATTCTTTGTGATAAATTGGAGACTCAGCTGCGAGCATTAGAGACTTTAGGGGTAACGTCTGAAAAATATGAAGCAATGTTATATCCTTTAGTAGAATCAGCTCTGCCAGAAGTTCTTATCAAGGAGTGGGAACGCACATATAACCGTGTAGAAAATAAAGACAAGATAAACATGTTAGGAAATTTATTAGAATTTCTTCGTTTGGAAGTCGAAAGTGAAGAGCTGTTACAGCTTGCTCGATCAGGGTTTGCGAATGATCAATTTGAAAAATTGAAAACGAAATAAAAAATTCCCACTGCAGCTTGTATTGTATCTAATGAAAAGCAAAGAGCTGAGAAAAATGGCAAGCATTGTATATTTTGTAATAAGTCGTTTCATAATACCTCAGAATGTTTTAAGGCTGCTGAGATGTCATTGGAGGCGAAAAGGGAAACATTGAAGAAAAGGAGAGCTTGTTTCGTCTGTTTGAAACCAGGACACAATTCTAAGATCTGCAAAGCTTATTTAAAGTGTATTATATGCAAGGAAAAACACCATAGCATTATGTGTCCAAATATAAATCAATCAAAACAAGACAAACAATCTGAATCGGATGCACAGGTTCTTTTGTCACCAAAAAATTCTCCAACGTTATTGTTAACGGTATTGGTGAAAATCATCAATGGTGACAAGTCCGGAATCGTTCGTGGATTATTTTAATCAATAGATTAGCGAAACTAGTTAGCTCTAGTTGTATTTCATGTAAAAGATTCAAAGCCAAATCTACAGAACCACCTTTTGCACCTCCTCCTAAGAACGGAATAAAGACTACTGCTGTTTTTGAAGTTTCAGGAATTGATCTCGCAGGCTCTTTGTATTTGCGTTCTGGCGAAAAGACATGGGTTGTACTTTTTACCTGTGCCATTTATAGGGCTGTCCATCTTGAATTAGTCAATTCCCTGTCTACAGAAGTTTTTATTATGGCTTTAAGAAGATTCTTTGCTCGAAGAGGTAGAGTAAATATAATCTACACTGACAACAGTACATACTTCATTGGTTGAAGCAATGCTCTAAGAAATTTAGATTGGGAGATCATGTTGTTTTCTACTATCAAGAAAATAAAATGGAATTTTAACCCTCCAACAGCCGCCTGATGGGGAGGATGGTGGGAGCGCATGGTTAGAATGTTGAAAGAGATGCTAAAAAGAATTTTGGGAAGGAAAAGTCTTGACTATGAAGAGTTGGAAACTATTCTATGTGACTGCGACGCTACAATAAACTCTAGGCCACTTACATATATTGAAGACAATTCTGAAGGTCTGAAGCCATTAACTCCCGCTTGTTTCTTACAAAGTTTGTTTCACTGCTAGGAAATTGACAGTAAAAGTTTAAATTTAAGATTGCGTTTAGTGCAAAAATTAAGGCAGGATTTAAGAATGAGATTTCGGAATGAGTATTTAGCGATGTTGATTCATAAAGGTAAGAGTCGGGAAGAATCTTTAAGAGTTGGAGAGATCGTTCTTTTAGAAACTGATGGCAAGCGTATCAACTGGCCTTTAATAATCGTCATTGAAGTCTTTTCTTGAGCAGATGGGCACTCAAGAGTTGCCAGAGTGAGAACAGCTGATAGAGAGAAGTTGAGACCATTCCAAAACCTTTATCCGTTAGAAATCAACAGTTCGGAAAAGTTACCATTCGTTGCCCAAGATGCTCGAAGGGAGGAAAGTGCCTCTATGAATATGCCTCTATGCCCTGCAGCTAATGATTCAGATTCCAGCGAAGATGATGATTCCTCACCCAAAGTCCAAGATTTTGTTACTAGAGCTGGCCGACATGTTAAAATTCCCAATGGACTTGATTTATAACTTTTGTTGCAATTTATAGGTATCCTACAAATTGCAAGGTGGGAGGTTGTTTGAGTAAGAGCAGCTACAACTCAACTCTGTTTTAAGTTTATGTTTTGAAAATAAGTTCTATCGTTTCTGTAAGAATAACTGCTTCTAAATTTTTTGGAAATATCTGCAATTAAAGTGTTTTTTCATATTAAATCCATAATTACTTTCGAATCCTTTAAAAATTAGAGCAATTAAAGCTGCGGTACACACTTTACGCATGTAACTCTTCCAGTCTACAACTGTTTTGGGTTTCATCTTCAGCTGGAGTTCACAAAATTCAACAGATGACCTGACACGAAAAATAGATGAACCTAACTGCTGTATGGAAGGGAATTTTTTATCCTTCAAACCAATTTTGACTTTTTTGCAATTTCAAAATTCCGGACACGAAATTTGACCAATTTCAAAATTGCTGACACGAAAAATAGATACTTAACGGCTGTAAGGAAGGGAATTTTTTATCCTTCAAACCGCGTTTGACTTCTTAATCCTTTCTTCTCATTACAGGTTTCTTTCCTGCACCGACATTTCGCTACCGAGTTATAGTTAAAGCATAATTTCATCTCGTGATTGCTCAAACATAATTTTCTATCATGAATGATGCCCCCCCCGTTTTTATTAAAAAAATCTGCAATTGAACTTTTTTTTTAGATTTTTCGTCATTCAGCAATTCCCAAGTTGTTAAATTAAAAAAAAATAGTATTTCAATGGCGACTTAAAAATATAGAACTATCTAAACTTATGCATTTGAAATCAGCGCGTTCGTGAGATTTGACGAGTTGTTTAATGAGCGCTTTTTGTTGGTTATTTAAGATTGGCATATATATAACATTCTCAAAAGAATTATCCACTTCTAACAAAAATACATTATGGCAATATAGAAAAAGAAAACTTTATTAAAGAAAATCAGACATAAGAAATCTTACCACATTCTACCAAACCATAATAATAAAAAAACTCTCTCTTCCAGATACATTTTTAACTTATTCTTTTTACAATTTAATATCAATGTTGCCAAAATATTAAAACTTAAAATTATGCTTTATAAATAAATACTATCAATTCCCTCCTTATTTGTATTTAAGGATATAATTTTAATCAGTCAGTCATGTCCATACTTTAATAGTTCATCTTTTAATTTCACCCTAGGTAGATATACTTTGTTAAAATATCCGCTTCTTGATTTTGTGAACACACAAACTGAGGAATGATTTGATTCATTTCATATTCATCCTTAACAAAGAAATATTTTCTATTAAAGTGCCTTGAACTGCTACTTTATTTTGGTTTTTTAATCCAACCTATTAATGCTTGACAGTCTGTTTTAATTCCTATTGGTTTGTCAATTAGATCATCTTGACCCAATTCTTCAAGTAAAAAGACGTACCATTTAACTTCACATGCACATTCGCAGAATGCTAAAAGTTCAGCTTCCATTGTAGATAGAGCAACTATTCTTTGTTTGTTGCACTTCCAATTTATGAAATTTTTGCCTAATTTAATGAAATAACCTCCAAATGATTTTCCATCTTCAGTGGTACACCAACTTGCATCTGATGTAGCATTTAATTTCCCATTGTCTGAAGTATACACTAAACAAGTATTTTGTGTTCCTTTAATATATCTAAATATCGTCTTTACAGCTTTCCAGTGTTTCTCTCTGGGATCTTGATTATATCTTGACATGTTGACAAATTACTTACTGCAAAAGCTAAGTCTGGTCTTGTGCCTGTTGCTAAGTACATCAATGAACCTAATGCTTCTTGATATTTTGTCTTCGACACAGGTGGTGAAGATGCTATGTCATCAAGATTTTCACCCAATATTCCTGGAGTCTTGATAGGTTTACATTCATCCATTTCAAAGTTTTTTAAGATTTTAGTTATATAGTTTCTTGACTGAGTATAAGTTTTCCAGATTCTTGCCGGATATCTATTCCTAAAAATTTTTGTGTTTGAGTGACTTCTCGTAATGTGAACGATTTAGATAGTTGAGAGATGATGTCATTTATCTCAGAATTTGAATTTCCAATCACCATTAAGTCATCCACATATACTGCTATGATAAAATATTTGATCTTATCTTTATAAATATAAACACACGGATCTGACTTTAGTCTGGTTAAATTCTTTTCTTTAAGAACTTTACATAATTCATCATACCAGCATTTTCCTGATTGTGGTAATCCATATATACTTTTGTTTACAAGATGTACTTTGTTGGGATCTGATATAAAGCCAGGTGGTTGTTCCATGTAAATTGGTTTATCCAAGTATCCATTTAAATATGCAGTTTTTACATCGAAAAATCTTATTTTGTAGTTTTTGTAAACTACAATCGATAGTAATGTTCTAAAGGTTGCAAGTCTCATTACTGGGCTAAACCCATCTTCATAATCAATTCCTTTTCTTTGATTAAATCAGGTTGCTACTAGTCTTGTTTTTTAAATTGTTTCTAAATTACCCTTTTCATCCCTTTTTGAGAATATCCAGGGGGTTTTTAATAACTTTCTTAGCGATGGGTCTTTCAACAAATTCCCAGACTTCATTACCCTCCATTGAACTCAATTCTTCTGTCATTGCTTGTAGCCAGAATTCACTTTCAGCAGATTCTATAGCTTCATCATACGTCTTAGGTAATCCTTCATTTGTATTGTATACTACATAATCTTTTAATTTTTCTGGGGGCTTCGTAATTCGCGCTGGTCTTTTCTGTACAGGATTTCCATGATTATCATTTCCAGGTTCTTCATTTATTTTCGGATACTCGGTTGGCTTTTCCAATGAATTGTTATCATCGTGTTCATCATCACTATTGGATGGCAAAATTTTCTCAGCTTCTTCATCTGTTGTATTATCTTCTCTATAGTATCTGTTAGTTATTTCTGAATTATTTATATTTCCATTACATTCCTATAAAAAATAATAAGTTCTTCTAATATTTGATTTTTATCGAAATTTAAATAATTTTCTTTAAGTAAAGGTGATCCAAGTTTCTGTTCATCAAATTTTACATCTCTCACTTCTTGAATTTTATTTAGTTCAGGGATATAAATTTTGTATGCTTTTCTCTTCATGCTATAGCCTATCATAATTCCTTTTTTAGCTTTTAGATCCATCTTTCTACGTTTTTCTCTCGTCTTATATGAACATATGCTTCACATCCAAATCTTTTAAGATAAGTAATGTTAGGCTTGCGTCCTTTATATATTTCATATGGTGTAAACCTTTTATCATTTTTGTGACTCCTGTTATTCACATGTACAGCTACTTTAACGCTTTCGGACCAAAATTTTATCGGTAATTCTGCATCAATTAAAATAGTTCTAGCAGATTCAATTATAGTGCGATTAAAACGTTCAGCTTTTCCATTACTTTCCGGAGTATAAGGGGTTGTAAGTTCATGTTTAATTCCCATTTTTTCAAAAAAAATTCTTTTATATTTTTAGCTAAAAACTCACTACCATTATCACTACGAATTCTTTTTAGTTTTCTTTCCTGTTTGTCTTTCTTCTTGAATGATAAGTTTGATTAGAGCTTCTGAAGTTTCACTCTTCTTCTCAATTGTTATCACAAATATGAAATTACTGTAATCATCTACCACTGTTAAAAAATAACAAACTTCCATCTATTGATTTCTTCAATTGGTCCAACTAAATCTATGTGCCATAATTCTAAAATATCTTCAGATTGCTTAAATTTCACACTTTTATAAGATGTTTCGTGTTATTTTACCTAATGTACAAGGTTCACAATTGTTTTTTCAGAAATTTTTACATTTTCTAATCCAATGACCGATGAGTGTTTTTTCATTTTCTATCAGCCTTTGATAATTTATATGACCTAGTCTCTGATGCCATAGTACATCATTAACATAACTAATTTTAGCTTCTTCAACAATATTTCCTTCAACTTCAAATTTATTTCCATTTCTGTTAGCTATATATAGAATGTTTCCCTGTTTATGATTCATCACTTCTGCTTTATTTTTGGATAAAAATTACTTTTAAATCATGATCTACAATTTTTGATACTGACAGCAGATTTTCACTTAAATTCGGTACTTGCAGAACATTTTCTACTCTCAAGATGTTCTTATTTCTATCAGTTTGCATTTTAATGTTACCAATACCAACTGATTTGATCATGGCCCCTTTTTCAGCCGTCATTATTTGTCGTTCTTCATCTTTAAAATTAGTAAATATTTCTTTATTAGTTGCCATGTGAGATGTGGCTCCTGAATCAATAATCCATTTAATTTTTCTATTCTCTTGTTTATTTATTTTATTCTTTCCATCATTTCTATCTTGATTAAGATATGAGCTTTCTATTTTCTTAGGATACTTCAAATAAGCATGTAGCTGATTCATATTCTCTTTCCTTGCTTGACATTCTATAAGTTTTATTTGTTACATTTCTCTGCTGTCGGTGTTCTTGTTTAGTTTTCATTTTACATTCAGTTGATTTGTGGCCGAATTTTCCAAAGCATAAGCACTTTATACTATTATTATTATTTCGACATTCTTTTATTAAATGTCCTAATTTTCCACAATTAAAGCATCTTCTTTCATATTTCGATTTTATCCAGTTTTCTTTTGCCTTAGAACTTACTTCTATTTCTTTTCCTCTTTGTTTATTTTTTCCTTCTGTTTCTTTTAAAGCTTGTCTAATTGAAGCTAGATCTTTCTCTTTATTGCTTTTAATAATTTTAACATCAAATTCGAATTCCTTTCTAAGTCCTTCTAGTATGAAGTAAATTAATTCTTTATCTCTTATTTCATCTCCAACTTGAATACTTTTACTTTTCAGAATAACAGCTCTATTCATATAATCATCTACTGATTCATTTTGACTCATTTTCAATTGAGCTAATTCTATTCTGCATTTGATTTGAATATCTTCTGTTCTTGCCGCCATTTCATTTTTGATTTTCTCCCATAACTTCTTTGCGTTCTTTTCATTCGCATATTTTAACGCTTTGATTCATTATATTTCTTGCTATCGCGTTATTATCATCCCATATTTTCCATGTTTTTATTTCATTTTCGAAATTAACATCATCCTTTTTATATGGTTTTGGTGGTTCATCAGCTTCTATCACACTTCTCCATATCTTTTTAAACTTCTTAATTCACTTTCAACTCTGTTGGCCCAAATAAGATAATTATCGTCACTTAATTTTTCTATATGACTTAAATTTATCATATTATATGCCATATTTTCTAATTTATATTCACTAATTATAATACAAGTCTAATTTATCTTTTAGAGAAATCGGCTATTTTGTTAAGCCTAAACAACATCAGTGTTCTATCTGAAAGTTTATTAACAGAGGAGGCAACCACGCTCTGCTACCAAATGTTAGTTTTTTTAGATTGGCATATATATAACATTCTCAAAAGAATTATCCACTTCTAACAAAAATACATTATGGCAATATACAAAAAGAAAACTTTATTAAAGAAAATCAGACATAAGAAATCTTACCACATTCTACCAAACCATAATAATAAAAAACTCTCTCTTTCAGATACATTTTTAACTCATTCTTTTTACAATTTAATATCAATGTTGCCAAAATATTAAAACTTAAAATTATGCTTTATAAACAAATACTATCACTTTTGCTAGATTTGGCGCTTTTTGCGCATGCATTTTCGCTGCAATTTTTTACAGGCCCAGAAATAGAATTGTACTTCTTTATCTTGGATACACCCGTTCTCTGTCTTACAAGAGGCACCATGTAGAAATATCAGTCACTTACATGATCTGCTCCCCATCACCGGAACCTCAAAGGCATCGATATTTTTTTGTGATTAAACCAGTTTCGCAGACAAACAACACTTGTTAACTTCCCCTCTCGAAAAAGTCTAGCAGATGTGTGAGTAGAGGATTTGTCTTGATTTCTCATACAGCCAAAATAGAAATACAGAAATTGTAAGCTTTTTTAAACATGGGAGTTAGTTTCGCCTCTACGATGCAAAAGTCACCTCACCACAAATTTAACAAAAACTGTTCCTGCTATTAACACATTTACGAGGCATCTTGCTTTAAGGCTGTTTTACAATTGACTAAAGAAATACCATGCAACACCTTATCCTTCGCAGGTAAACATGGGGCGAATGCGTTCCTATATCGGGGATATTTCATTAGTGTGCGGATAAGTACTGATCCATAGATCTTCGAAATGTGAACTATTAAATAATTTGAATAATTATTTTGGTTTGTTGGAAAAGTTAAACAACAACAATCAGCGTAATGTTTGGAAATTTTGCAGGATTTAAAAATAAACAAATTTACGAACTGCAAAATTTACAAACATTAAGCTGGTTCTTGTTTAACTTTTCCAATAATCGTAATTTGACGTGTTATTTTAACAGAGATTATATTTGTGTTCAGTAGATTAAAATTAATAGGTACTGGTTTTTTTTTTTTTTTTTTTTTTTTTTTTTTTTCTCGGATACTTTTTTGCTGTTGACCAGCATTATTAATAGTTTTAAAGTTAAATATTCTCAAGGGCTTTAAATGGTGTGATTTAACATTGTAAGGTAATTGAAAGTTCTAAAAAGCCTTCTATTTTTAAAATTTTAAAATTTGCTAGCGAACTTATTCCCATAAGCGAGTTAGTTAAGAGTACTTATAAGTACAAATTTGCCAAGGTGTAGCTGTGCCGTGTATCTGTGACACGAGCAGCTAATGAATTAAATCTGGCTACAAGTTTGAGAACAGATTTGGTTGCGCCGCCCTGGCAACTTTGTTTCAGGGTCAGGGAATTGGAATTTTTAAAGAGGTCAACTTTCTGTATATGCATTTCTTATATATAATATTTACTATTAATATAATACCTTCTTTTAAAATAACTTTTTCTTAGTATTACAATTCTTCAATTTTCGAAAACTTACATATTATGGCTGATACAGAGAAGTTAAATATTGATAGCATCATTGCTAGGTTGTTAGAAGGTATGTAAAAGCTGTATATGAAATGTTACAAAACAGCGCATTTTTATTAAATTCGTTAGATAGTAAATATATTTGACAACTTAGCAGTATTTTTTTCTTTTAATATGTAGTAATTTGCTTGAAATGTTATGTTTTGTTTATCATGTCATTTAGCCTTTCCGTTGGCTTATAGTGTTATGTTGCGTATCTCTTCGCAATCATAATGTCATTAATTTAGCCCTTAGTGACTACTAATATCTCATATTGATCTTAACTAAAAGATAGTTTAAAAAGTATTATTGTCGTTATATTTTAGGTACTGTTTTTGAGTCAAAACGCTTATTGTGTTAACGACTTTGATGTTTATTGGAAATTTTTATACGAACCCTTTATAGCATAACAGAGATGATATATATGATTTTTAAAAAGTAAATAACTATATGGTACAGTTTTGATATTGATACTAAGTCATTTTGTAATTTTTGTCTTGGAATTATTTTTGTCTTATGTATTTGCACAAAGCCACTTTGGTTATTCATTGGTTTAGATGCTTGTGTGTACTGAAGTATCAGGGAAACTGGTTGATTTAAATTTATGCTTAATATATAGCAGCAGTTTTTACATATATCATTAGTTGAGTTCATCAATATATATATATATATAAAGTGACGGGTGTGTATTTAATCTTAGAGCTGCTTCTGTTTAAGGAATAGCAAATTTTTATGCTAATCTTTGGAATATAGTAACAGGTAGTTTGGCAACATTTTGGTAAGGCGATAAACGTTACTAGCTAGGACTTTAGCAGTGTACATGGATAAAGTCAAGAGTGTGCGCAATGCCATTTTTGTGCAATTCTGGGAATTTTTTTTAAGTGAAAATAGGTCGTGTACATGGATACTGTGTATGTTCAGTTCTTAAAAACGCGGCAAGCAGTTTGGAATTCTGCACTTTCTCCCAATTTCGCACCTAATCTTCGTCATGATTAAGCACTTTTGTTCCATAAAAGTTCTAGCGTAAGCGTAATTCAGGTAGCAGATTGTTGGAAAAAAATTATGAGTAAAAAAGAAAGGCTTGATCTTTGGATTATGGTAACTTGGCGATTTTTTGGCGACCAACTCTGCTACAGCAACCCTCTATTTTTTTTTTTCACCGCCATTTTGTCTTCACGAAGTAAAGACATGTTTCTTTTCTTTTTATTTACTGAACACTTTTTCCAACAATCTACTAGCCGAATTACACTTATGCTAGAAATTTTATGTAACAAAACTGCTTAATCATGATAAATATTAACTGCAAAATTGGGAGAAAGTGCACAATCGCAAACTCCTTGCGCGTTTTTCAGAATAGCACATACACATAAACCATTTACACGTCAACTTATTTTTACTTAAAAAAACATCCCAGAATTGCACAAAAATGGCATTGCACACACTCTTAACTTTATCCATCTACACTGCTATTTTCTCATAAATTACAAAAATTTGCACGAAAATGCAAAAAAATTCTGTGAATCTTTAAACTTGGTAAAAAGCACATATATGAAATTACCTGATCGCGAAAAAGTATATACCCTTTCCAAGGATGAACGTTTCCACTAATAAAATAAATAAAATATCCAAAAACTTTTACCTCTAAATTATCTATTATATTATAAACGTCACCAACAAATTCATACTGCAAACTTAGTGTCAAATATTTAAATTATTTCCATACACGTTTACTTCAACTGAAACGTATACCAAATTCCTACAAACATAAAATTCACAAAATAACTATCATTTAATTAAAATATAATTAAACTACGTACACGTCGACTTATTTTTACTTAAAAAAACATCCCAGAATTGCACAAAAATGGCGTTGTGCACACTCTTCACTATATCCATGTACACTGCTTTTTTCTCATAAATAAGAAAAATTTCACGAAAATGCATGAAAATACTCAACATATTCTACTCAAACGTATTCCAAAATACTACGAACATATAACTCACAAAATCACGATCATTAAATTAAAAAACACTACTTAAAATATAAATAAGCACATACGTTAAATTAATAAAAATTAGATTACAATCCTAATTACTTTAAACTAAATCATTGCTAATAATAATTTTCCAATAATACCATTTTACTTTATTTGCTCCTTACATTTAGAACAATGCATAAAAATAATATCCTCAAATGATTAAAAATACTAAGTTACCTAATCTTCAGAATCTTCATTACGTGGCACGCACACTTCCACTATTTCACACAAAACACAATGAAGCTTAATACAAAATAATATAGTGCTACAGTTTTCCAAATTCTCCCCTTTTTCCGATTAAAGAACAGTAATTCGTCCATTAATGTCACATGACATATATCATGATCTCTCATTTCCCTCGCACAAAATAATGCGTAATCGGAACTGAGTACCTCTCACATTATTACCAAAGTCCTAGGTAGTAACCTTTATCACCTCCAAATTGTCGCCATACTACCAGTTACTATATTCCAAAGATCAGCCAAAGAAAGAAACATGCCTTTACTTCGTGAAAACAAAATGTCGTCCAAACAAAAACTAGTAGGTTACTGTAGCAGGGTTGGTCGCCAAAAAATCACCAAGTTACCATAATCCAAAGATTAACCAATTTTTATTATTTAAATTATTTTTGAGCTAATTGAAGCTTGTAGGTTAGGATTTAAGAGGAAAAGCAAAATTTAAATTTTCATATACGACCTTTTCAAGCATGAAGAGTGACAAGAATTCTATCAAAACTTCGAACTTGCAATGACAGAGTAGTTATAAAAAGATTGGAAAAACATGACCAGCACGAACTGGCAAAAATCTTTTCACATGTTAAGAATACAACATTGCTTCAGGTAACATCAGAATTTACTGCCGAATCTTGACATAAAATCTATTGAGGGTCGTTAGGATTTTACGAGTCAACATCCAAGCAAAGTACCATTAATGAATGGATGATATAGAGCTGTGCAAATCTCCTGGATATGACAATTTGAGCAACAATTTCTGAATACAGTCAAAAGTCGTTAATTCGGACACCCATAATCCGGACCTCAAAGCTACAAACATTCTGTGCATGCGTCACGTCGACGCATGCGCATATGCGTGTGCGCATGCACATTATACGCTCACGCATGCACGTTTAATGTATAACGGACGGTATAAGCTAAAATTATCTATTTTAGTTATTGTAGATTGCATTGTTTCTTAATCTTCGAATTGGATCCGGCTTATTATTTTTTTGCAGACTGTTAGAGCAATTTTATAAAAGTAAGCTTCAACTTTCGATTATGTCAAATAGAATTTCCGATGCTGGAGCTCCCAAAGCATTTACAAAGCGAAAGTATGTTTCGAAGTCCATCAAACAAAAAGTGGAATTGCTGCTAAAATGGATAAAGGCATATCCTTTGTTTCTCTAACCATTCCGAAATCTGTTTATCAATTTCACGCTGCTTTGCGGCGAGGGGGGGAAACGCCGCGGCGCACAATAAATTGGAAGTTGATCTGTGTCAGCACTATTTTTATGTTCAGAGCAGATGTTTTTATTTTATTTGGCTTTTAATTTCTTACTAAATGTAGTATTTCATCTCGATGTACTCCGTCTCTGATATGATTTAAATCAAATTCCTCGTCATTGTAATTCGCTTCCGATAGTGAAGAAAGTGACACAGCGGTTATTGAAAACGAAAAATTTCGATTGCAAATTAGTCGGTATTCTTGACACAGCAATTATAGGACTTGAACAGTGGAACTTTGTAACTGAAAAGAAATTATGTCTGTTTATAGAATCAAAAAGAAAGTATTATCACATAAAACGAAGCAACTTAAACAACTTACATTGAAAGAAATGTTTAATAAAGTAAACAAATAAATATTAAGCCTTTTTTTTTGTAAATTTTGATACCTATTAGATCATAATTGTTCTTTATTTCATAAATTACGGTTTCATATTTTTAATTTTATAATTTCTACATGCTATCCTACCAGATTTAAACTGATGATCTATAATCCGGAATCGCCGAAGTCCCGACGAGTCCGGATCAATGACTTTTGACTGTACTTGTTGCTTTAAACTAAATAGGTTGATGTGGCCAGTCATATTTCTAACTTGGGAACAAAGAGATTTATCTGTCGGTGTTTCCTTGTTAAAGCCGCCCGGTGCTTTGTCATCGTTTAAAATTAATTTGGGTAAACCCTGAAAAACACTTTATCTGCCTTAAAAATAGCGAAAATATCAGTGTTCGAAGGAAAATCATTTTTACGTTTCTTTGTGGAGGCTATAATTTGACAGCTGTTGCTATCATACAATCAAAATTGATACTTTCTAATTTTCACACTGTATTTAACTGTCTTTTATATCATCTGATGAAAGTTAGTTCTTCAGCCGAGCAATATGTGAAGCATAAGGCAGTATGAAAAAGAGGCACTTTTCTGTTATCAGGCCAGATACAGAAATATGTATGTATTGTACATACATATGTATTTATGTGTACGGCATCTTCCAGGCTGAAGCACATTCACTATCAATGGCAATAACTTGTGCAGTAAACAATAGTGCCAGTTTCTAAAGTGATGCCCTCTCAGTGCTTCATGCTATCCTAAATCATGTCCGCAGTTCTTATATCATTAGTAATATTCAAAGATTTGCTGTTCTTCAGATACTTTTATTTCCACCACCACTGGATAGAGGCACATGTCAGAAATTAAAAGAAGTGGGCGAGGAAATTCACTCGCAAAGGAGCAGTGAGTAACATCGGAACAAATTCACAACCTCTGCCCAAAAGAGTTGTTACTAATTTGGCTAAAGCAAAATTGCAAAATGAATGGGATCATGCTTTCCAAGACCATTGTGCCTATCTGTTCTTTCCCCAAATTAGCAATAGCAGATGTACTTCTACTGCTCAGCTAACTCATTGTGTTACAAGTCATGGCCATTTCCATACTTCTACTGCTCAGCTAATTCATTATGTTACAGGTTATGGCCATTTCCAGTCTATTTTCATAAGCG